ATTATTTTGTCATATCTTGCCTTGTCCGACGTCTCCCTTCACCCACTTTTCTGTTGTCTGTCCCCCAGGGAGGAGGTCACAGATAGTTCCTTGTAATCGGTTCCCTCTTTCCAACCCATTCTCCCTCTACCCTCCCAGTATCACCACTCACACCACTGGTCCTGTAGGGATCATCCGCCCTGGAAGTAAATGACATTTTACAAGCTCTGCTCTATACAAATCTTGAGGCTGCCTCTGCTTTGAAGAGGCAATACTTCCCCAGTGGTATTTTGAATGCCTTGCAACCTGAGGGACACATCTGTCTGATATAGACAATGTTAAGCAACTATTCATAAAATTTTCAGTGGCTAATCCCTCAGAATTAGACCACCTATTCCTTTTTCCTAGTATCAGTCTGGAAATTCTGCTGAAATCTGTTCCGCAATGGTGACCCTGCTGGTATTTGAAATACTACTGGTGGCATAGCTTCTAGCATCACAGTCACACGGAAGCCACGAGAGTATGACAAACAACTGTGAGATGAGTAGTAGATAAATGAGCTTGGTTGATTTCAGGATTGCAAGGACGGTTTAACAATACAAAATTTAATAATGAAATTGACCATATTGATAAAGAAAAAAAAGCCATTCTCAATGCAGGAAAAAACATTTAGTGACATGTTCACATATGATAAAGAAAAGTTGAGGAACAGAGAATCAAAAGCTCTTCTTTAGTTACAGCGAGCCTCACACTTAACTTGTAAAGTTCCCTTTAAAATCAGTGATAAAAGAAAGATGGCCGCTGTGAACACATATTCCCAACATCGTATTGGAAGCTCTGGCAAGGGCAGTGATAAAATAAAACAAATAAAGCCTTTAGTTGACTGAAAAGGGTAAAACAAAGCTGTCATTATTTATGGATGATATTATAGCCTTCCTAGGTACTTCAAACATTCTATACGTTATGATAGTTAATAAGCATTTTAATAGGGTACTAGAATAAAAATATCAATCATATTACTAACACATGACTGGAAATTCAATACACAAGTTATCATTTAAAATTACATAAAAATATATGGCACTTAGAAACAGATCTAACAATATATAGAAGTTGTATGTACCCAATTTTATTGAAAGATGTTACATAAGATGTAAGTTAATCCAAACACGTGATGTAAATTAAAAAGTCAGTACTGTAAAACTGTCATTTCTTCCCAAAGGAACCTGTTTATTCAATGTGAGGCTTTTAGTGAAATTGGATAAGCTGACTTAAAACTATATAGAGAGATCAAAAGGTCAAGAACAGTGAATATACTCATGAAGATGAAATACTACAAGGGAGTAGTTTCCTTGCTAGATACCAAGACCAATAAAGGTAGAATTGGGATCCATAATAATGAAGACCATGGGTTTTCGTATATGGATAGAATAGCAGACCTAAAACAAAACTATAGTTCAAAAGAGCTTCTTGTGTATACGGAAGCCGAATACATGAAAACCTGGCATTCTGGATCAGTGGGTAAATGATGGGCAACTCAATAGGCTACCTCACATAAAGCAGGATAAGAGAGAGCGTGGTCGTTTGGTGATAATCTGTCAGATTAGACTCCTACCTCCTCCACACCATTGTTGTTAGTTGATGTCAAGTTGATTCCGACGCATGGCCTTCCATGTGTACAGAGTAGAACTGCTCCTAAGGGTTTCCAAGGCCTTGACCTTCTGGAAGAAAATCATATTCAGAATCTGGTCAATTATCACCAACTCATGACTAACAATCAAGCCCCCAAACCACCATTGTCTCTCTCATAGGACTGTATTTGTTCCTAACTGGTTTCTTCTTCTATCCTTACATTCTTCCAGCACCCCATTCCTAGCAGGCAGTGTGCTTCTTTTAAACTATTTCCTATCTTGTCACCTGATAAAAAGCATCCAATTATTATACCTAGAAATAAGATGCAGGATCTCCCTCATGGTCTGTGTTACATGATTTGCTGACTGGTTACTTGGGTAGCTTTATTTTCTCTCCTTCTCTTTTCCCCTCCCTTCACTGTGCCCCAGGATCACTGGCCTCACCAAAGATCAATGAGCAGGCTTTCTTTGAGCATTCCACTCAAAGTATCCACATCTGTCTCACTCATTTCATTTCATTTAAGTCTCCTGTCTGAAAGACTTTCCCTGGTAGTGACTATAAATAGCTCCACAGCTTCTGTCCTTTATAGTGGCACTAATCAATACATCCAATATATGGGTATGCATTGTCTTAGCCTGTCCCCTTAGGATGTAAACCCTAAGCAAAAAAGGCTGTTTCCTTCATTGGGGCACCCCTGGTACCTGGGAGAATACTTGGCACTGCATCTGCCCTTGGTGAATATTGGTTAAGTGGGACACCATTCTAGGTCTAGTTCTTAACTCAAACTCAGCACGATCCAATGAACGTCTCAGTTATGTGAGATCAGAAGCTAGCTGTTAAGCTCAAAAGCATATAAAACCCATCCAAACTACCATGAAAAAATAACGTGCATAAAACAGCCCCTGAGCTGAGTTGAATGGTGGCGACCTTTTGGGTTGTGAATGATCAGTAAGGAGCCCTTGGGTGTAAGAAACAATCTTTATCTAGGTGTTGGTTATTCATAGGGGTTTCAAAAAGTTCATGGAAGTGAAAGATAATGGAGTGGGTGGAGAAGGACTGCAGAGCCTGCTACCTGAGCACTGGGAAAGCCACCTTCCAAAGTCCTAGGAGGAAAACGGTAGGCGGTTTTCCTTCTAATGCCAGAACTTCTCTGAGATCGTGGCCTGTTTCGGAAAGGCTTTCAACGTGAAGAGTTACAGTTTCAAACCCACAGGGCGGTTCTACCCTATGCTGCAGGGTCGCTATGAGGCGGAATCGAGGGCAGCGAGTTGTCTTTTTCTTTTTTTTCTTGCTTGTTTGTTTGGTTTTTTAAATCATTTTATTATTAGGGGCTCATACAACTCTTATCACAATACATACATACATCAATTGTGTAAAGCACATTTGTATATTCATTGCCCGAGCTAGTCTTTTTCATTTTGGGATCTACTTCTGCAACTCTCCTGCACCCCTCCAGAACCCCCCCAGAGAGCGGTTATCGCCCACTTCGGGAAACACTATTCTACAGTATGAGGTGGTGCACGCAGTGCTATTACGGTTGCTAATATGCCCTAGTGAACGTCACAACTACAGAAAACAAAACCCTGAACGACACTCGGCCCAGGCCTCGAGTGCGCACGCGCAGCCAAGAGCCGCCAACGCGCAGGCGCACGACAGTCCGGCTCCGTGTCAAGTGGGAGGGAAAGTGTCCCACGGACGCGCGAACTCCGGATGCTCGCGGAGAGGGGCGCAGACCATGGAGCAGCGGTTAGCCGAGTTCCGAGCGGCTAGAAAACGGGCCGGTTTGGCGGC